GCGCTACAGTTAAATTCGCAGCTAATCGAGAGAGATTGATGGTTCCGTTGATGAATTTAGGGAAATTTTGTTAGAATCAGAATCTCAAACCATAAAAATGGTACCGGTGAAGCTGTAGGTGGAGGACCCTTTGGAGGACAAACATGGCCCCTTCAACAAACGATCTAAGCTCTCCTTTCATCCCTTGATTTGTTCTCTCTCGGTATCTATATATATACATGGTTGATTACTAAGTGGGTCTAAGAGATATAAGGGCGCTTTGTACAACATCAACACTGAAGAGTCCAGTATCAGATTGCAAAATGGTACTGTAGTTTTATGTTTCTTTTTTTTTTTTTTGAAAAATTATTTCTCTATTTTGTTACATTAGTTCTCTGTGATGAAGACGATGAAGAAGATGAATTAGGTCTGAGAGATAAGTAGAGACCTGCCATTGGAAATCACAGAAAATAGAATTTCTCTAGGTTGGAGACAATGGTTTCTCTAGGAATTTCTCTGATTTTGAGAGAATTTCTCTGGGCTGGAGAGAATGGTTTCTCTAGGAATTTCTTTGATTTTGAGAGAATTTCTCTAGGTTGAAATGAATTTCTCTAGAAAGTGTTTTATGCTATATTTTTTTTTTTTTTGAAAAATTAGTTTTTTGTTTTGTTTAATTAGTTCTCTGTGATGAAGATGACAAAGAAGATGAAGTGGGCCTAGGAGACAAGTACAGACCTGCCATTGGAAATCACAGAAAATAGAATTTCTCTGGGTCAAAGAGAATGGTTTCTCTGGGAATTTCTCTAGGTTGAAGTGAATTTCTCTAGAACTTTGCCCTAGAATTTCTCTGGTGAAATCTAGAAAAATTCTCTGGATCAAATTTTCTTTAGATCGATTTGAGCGACCTTAGACATTATTAAAACATTAGATGTCCTTTATATTATAAAATTTTAATATCAGGGACCCTAAAAACAAATCCCATTAGTTTTGTTGCCTTTAATTTTCTGGTTAATTTCACTTTTACCCCCTAAACTTTTAATTTGATCTACTTCCTCCCTAAACTTTTGGATTTTAGTCATAGTTGTCCAATTCTTCACAGCCATTTGGAACAAGTAACGGCAAGCAGTGTTGTCAGTATTTTACGATTCAATATCTTTTAGAAGGAAATCAATATTATCATCAATACGTATCTTAAATTAAATGTATCTTACAATACATTTACGATATGTGATGTTATATACGATACGCAATACATAATGCGATAGGTATGTTATACTTAAATTTCTTTAGCAAATTTGAATGAAAAATATTCAAATTATTTTTTGTAAATTAATATTGTCAAAAATTTTCATTAACTTATTAGAAAAAAGATATTTTTGAGATGAGAATGGTACTTTTTAGTTTATTTTTTTGACCTTTTTGACATGTCTATTGTATGGTATTAAGAATCTTGCATAATTAATTTATGCCTTCTAAAGATAATATGCATTGTTGTATGTATATATTTAATTTAAGGAATTTCGTTTTGGCAATTAACGGAATTATATATTGTTTAGTATTTTATTCTTATAAGATATTTGTTTTTTATAACTATATTAAAAAAAATTACTTATTTTTAAAGGTATTAAAATATCTTATGATACGCGATTCAAAAAATTAAAAAGTAATACACGATTCGTATCTTGATTTGACAACAATGACGACAAGCACTGCATGTGCTTTGCTTCTGACAAATTCATGCATACAGATGACATAATCGTTATTTTAAAAGCCCTAGAATATCATTGATTGTATATAGAACTTTAATAATCTAGGGTTTTCATTCTCTGCGATTGAAGATGAAACACTAATATGCACTCTGAAATCTGAAGCACGTGTCTGCGACTGTGATGGATACAAACATAACAGATGGAACTGATCGATTACCTCCGTGTAAGTTCATTTTTTGAATAATAAAACTACCTATATAATAGAAAAATGATAAGTTCTTTTCGAATTTTTTGTGTATTCAGTGTATAAATTGTATGTCACTGTGTATATAATGAATTTTTTTTTAATTTTTTTTCCCTTCTTGTTTCCTTTGCTTTTTGTGTAATCAAACAGGGCACTAGGTTTATTTGATACCATTGGACTTTTCAACTGGTTGTGTTGTGACTTTGAATTTTTACCACACTGTTTATTCTGCTAGTTATGCCTATATTTTCTATGTATAAGAATTAAGGACACAATAAAAACTTGGGTTTGGTTATGGTGTGCAACTTACACCTTACACCTTATACCTTACACTTACACCTTACACTTACATCTTTTGTAAAAAATTAAACCTTACACTTACACCTTTTTTGAGGTTGCACACCATGTGCAACCCACTTACACCTTACACCTTACACTTACACCTTACACTTACACCTTATACTATACTTACACCTTACACTTACACTTTTTGTGTAAGTGGCACATGGTGTGCACTTGCACACTTAAGAAAACTCCTAAAAACTTTAGCAGTTATAACTAGCAGTAATTGGGATTACACCAAAGGCATAAAGTCCTCAATAGAAACAGGGTCTCTACTTGTTCATACTCTCTGTCCCTACAATGGCAGTGATCCTAAGCAGTAAATATAACATTTGTTGCCAAAATCTCCATTATTCTTTATAATCCTAATTAAAATTTTGACTGATAAGGAAAACAATCAAACATATTTTTTACATCTAACAAAGGCAGCAAACATCTAGAAGTCATCATTTCATATAATATTGAGGTCCAGTTCAAAAAATATGTATATATATATATATGACATTAACTCTTCAAATAACTATATTGAACAAAAATGATCACTTCATTAAACAAAAGAGACATTCCTATGACTTGATAACAGCAAGTCTTCAAATTCTTGGAGTGTTGAATGGTACAGGTGGTCTGATGGCCCCTGGCCTTGGAGTGCTGAATGGTGGAGGTGAGTTAACATGCATTCCCCTTGTCATGTTGAATGGTGCAGATGATGATGGCGGTCCGATAGTTGCTGGCCTAACGGCTGATGTTGCTGGCCTGAAGATGGTCCATGTTCTTGGGGGATTCTATTTACACCCAAAAAATCATTACACCCTGTTTAATTATTTAAAAATTTATTTTACTCTCATTACACCTTACTATTTTTCTCAAATTACCCTCAAGATAAACCCAAATAATAAGGAATAAACAAAGTAAAATAATTAAATTATTTTAAAAACTTTTCAATACAGAAAATAATTCTCAAAAAAAAAAAAAAAAAAAAAAACCACCAAATTCCCAAAAAAAAAAAAAAACCTTATAAGCACATAAGCATTATAAATACAGGAAAAAAAAAATCAAACTTTTATATAAGCATTATACAACTTTTCAAAAAGAAAAGAAAAGAGTTTTGCATTATAAATTATCCACAAGAATGCTCGTGGAAAAATAAAAACCAAACTTATAAACAAATAAGTATCAAACACTAACAAGAAATAGTAGTTTTCAAATAATGTATTATTTAAATGACAAAATAAGAACAACTCTAATAATTTGTTATTGTTAATCTAACTACTGGGCCTTTTAATTTTTGTCAAAAAAAAAAAAGACACAGAAAATAATTAATGGTGTTCTACAAAAATTGTGAAACCCCTTTATATGAATACTTACCTCCTTTTTGATGAGTTACTTCAAAAAACTATTTTGGTTATTACTCTCATCCATTATTTGATTTTGTTCAAACTTTCTTCTAGGATTTAGGGTTTCAAAATAATTAAAAAACAATGATGTTGATGATAATGGTGCGTTTTGGTATGGTGGATTGGAATTTTGGAAGAAGAAGAAGAAGAATAAATAATTTTGATCTCTTGGGGAAGAAGATACAGAGATTTGAATAGGAATAACTGATTAGGGTATACCATGAGGGAAAAAAAAAATTTAGGATTTAATATGTATTGTCCTTATTAGTAAATTCATATTAGGATATAATATGAATTAAAATTTATTAATTTAAATTGAGCATACTGAGACATATTTTGGGTTCAAATAGAATCTCCCATGAGGGTTCTTGTTCTTCCCCCAGCTAGGAATGGCAACAGGCAGGGTGGGACTAGGGATCACATTCCCCGTCCCCGATCACCGATGGTGAAAGTTCTCCTGTTCCTGGCCCCAATCCCCGACGAGGAACCTATCACCGTCCCCATCCCGGCTCCCTAACGGGGATCGATTTCTCCGACCTCGAACTACAACAAAAAACACTTTTAGCGACCTATTTTTTAGTCACTAAAAGTGTAATTTTGGTTGCTAAAAGTATCCGCGACATGAACAAAATTGGTCGCTGAAGCCCTGCCACTAAGTGCTTCGGTGACCAAATCAATTTTGGTTGCCTTTATAAATAAATTGGTAACCAAATATTTCCGTTGCCAAAAGACTAAAATTTCGTCGCCATAAATTAACATTTAGCCAGTAAAAGTAGCCTTCAGCTGATGACATGTTAAGTTTCAGCAACATATAAATGCGTCGCTAAAAATATCTTTTAGTGACTAAAAGAATTGGTTGTTCAATGTTAAAACTTTTGGCAACCAATCAAGTTTTGGGTCGCTAAAAAAATTGACACATACTTTCAGCAACATAAATAAAATGTCACCAAAAGTAAATTTACAACTAAAAAAACCTGCCACCAAAAATTCATTATTTATAATTTTTTTTAACAATTTCCCTGTTCAATACATAATTCATAAACCTATAAACATAAGCAAAATATAATTCAAATTAACACACTTATGCAAAGCATCCAAAATATAAACCTAATTCAAAAGTAGTACCATATTAAATATAAACAGCATATCAAATCCAAAACATCCAATTTAAGTACAAATCTCTTACAATCCCAAACTTGAAACATGTAATGCCCAAAGACCTTCTAAGCTTGCAAATTCATAACAAAAACCTACGACAAAATATATCCTAAAATTCAAAATGTAATCCTTTGATGCTCCCCGAACTATATTTTATCCATTGCCAATCTGTCAAACATGTGAAAAAAACTTCAAACATGTAATTCCAAAAAACCTTCCAAGCTTGCAAATTCATAACAAAAACCTATGACAAAATATATCCAAAATTCAAAATGTAATCTTTTGATGCTCCCCGAACTATATTCCATCCATTGCCAATCTGCCAAACATATGAAAAAAAAAATTATAATGTTAAAATGTTAATAATAAAGGTCTTGGTCTAAAAACATTGGTTTCACATTATAGATGAATAAATTGAGAGCAAATTTTCCTACGGTGAATTACAAAATTTCAACATACCAAAATCAAAAAGTAACACATGATTCACTAGTTAAACTTGACATATATTCCCAGACTCTACAAATGGATCGAAGAGTATGTTAATTGCTCTGTCATCAAAGAACATCTGCCACCCAGAGAGAAACTACTCGCCCCCGCCAAAACATATTTTTAACAAAAACAAAAATATGCAGTTTCGAATTGCAGACCGATTTTCTTTTCTATGTACTACTAGTTCTTTTGTTCTGTGTTGCGAATTAATTGAAGTACTTTAAATTTCTATGTATAAGGAGCTAGTTATTGCTCTTGTTTCATTTCAAATAAAAAGTGATATTTTTGTATACAAGCTGTGAAAGAGTAATGGTGTGCATTAGAAATAGAGTAATGATATAGAAACATAAAAAATAAAAATAAAAAGTTAAACATAATTTGTATATGGAAGTGCATTAGCCACAAAATCTTGATAAAGAATGGCAGTTGAGTCAGGATTGCACAAAACAATGAACAAACAAAGAATTTTCTACACGAAAAAAAAGAATAAATAAAGAACGACTCGGAAAAGGATCTGTGCAGAAGGAAGTGTCATGTATCAGTACACCACCTCTTCCCCCACATTTTTAGCTTAATTAATTCAAGTTCAACCATGAAGAAGGGTTGTGACCATTGTGGGGCTCGTAATCAAATGTGAGGGAGAGAACCAGTGGTGCCGTTGTCACCTTGTCTAGGTTAATTAGCTCTAACTGCCTCAGCCATCCTTGAGTCTTGATCTTGAACTCCTACCTACTCAAAATTGGGCCTGTTTGGTTGTTTTTGTTCAAGCTTGGCTTGAAAACTTAACGAGCCTAAAATTGTGTTCAACCTTGGTTTGTTTACATAAAGAATCAATTTCAAATGAATTTTTAACAAGCCAAACACGAGTCGAGCTCGAGTAGGTTGATTTGTTTAACTGCCCTATCTACTAGGGCTGGAAGAATTTCGAAGGGCCATGGCATATTCAAGGTCAATACGTTGTTGTATCCCTGTGAATATTTCTTTTTCTAACCAAACAATTACTAGTGCACCTATTGTGATTCCTAACCCTTGATTTACTGTTGACGTGAAATATTTATCAATGTTTAAAGTAAAGAAAAGAGATATTCATATGGTGTTTATCGACCTTGAGAAAGCATATGACAGAGTGCCTCGAGATATAATATGGTGGGCGTTAGAGAAGAAATGGGTGACAAAAGGCTACATTGACGTGATTAGGGACATGTATGAAGGGGTGGTGACCACTATTAGATCGCCAGCTAGAGAAACAAATGAATTTCCTATCACTGTAGGGTTACACCAAGGATCTACCTTAAGTCCTTATCTTTTTGCTTTAGTTATGGATGAGTTGACGATAAATATTCAGGATGACGTGCCATGGTGTATGCTTTTTGCAGCCGATATTGTGTTAGTGGATGAGACTAGAGAAGGAGTTAACACAAAGTTGGAGATTTGGAGAAAAGCTCTTGAATCTAAAGGATTTTGGATAAGCAGAACTAAGATAGAGTACATGGAGTGTAAATTTAGTAACAGTAACAATGAAAGCAGAGGAGAAGTGAAGATTGAGAACCAAAAACTGCCTAAGAGTGAACATTTTTTAGGGTCGATTATCACAACAGCGGGAGAGATTGATGCAGATGTGGCCCATAGGATTAAGGCGGGATGGTGTAAGTGGAGAAGTACGTCTGGGGTATTGTGCGATAAACGAATACCCACTAGACTAAAAGGTAAGTTCTATAGAACGACTATTAGACCAGCTATGTTGTATGGGACGGAGTGTTGGGCAACCAAGAAACAACATGTAGATAAGATGAGTGTGGCTGAGATGAGGATACTAAGGTGGATGTGTGGTAAGACTAGACAAGACAGGATTAGGAATGAGTGTATTCGGGAATGGGTAGGAGTAGCACCGATAGAAGATAAGTTGAGAGAGAATCGTTTGAGATGGTTTGGTCATATTCAACGGAGACCAACAGAGGCAGTAGTGAAGAGATGCGATGCTGTAACAATAGATGGAAGTGTTAGGGGACGGGGTAGGCCTAGATTAACGTTGACTAGCATTATAAATAGAGATATGAATTTACTTAATTTGACTAATGAAATGGCCTTTGATAAGGCCGCGTGGAGAAGAAGGATTCATGTAGCCGACCCCATTTGATGGGACTTAAGGCTTGGTTTGGTTTGGCTGTGTCGTTCTCACATTACAGGGGAAAATCTGAGAAACTAAGGATCAAACCGCCCTGAAACTGCCCAAAATTCAGTACATTTTAACAATTGATTGATTTTAACAATTCATGAAGTTGTTATACCTGCTCATCAAGGTTGCATAAAGAATTGATAATTCTCACTGCCAAACTATTTGTATGATCTTCTGCAATTCCACACAAATCCTAGATAACAGGGAGGAGGCACAATTTAAACCACATAATCAGAGATTACATATGGTAAACTATTTTAAGTACTATTCTTGGCAAATAAACTCAAGATCATGTTACAAAATGTTAAATAAGTTAACCATCAAAAGAACAATAATGGAATTGTTGACAATGAAAACTAATGTCAGCAGGACATAAATCATTTTATCCTCATTTTGCTAAGTTTAACGAATTTGCATTATATTTGTAAACCAGTCCAGTAGTTTGGATCTGATGCGGCCGTGAGGCAGGGCCAGCGAGGTTGGTCTTCATTTGGACAGTCATAAATTAATGGATGTATTTTCTTGATACCATTGATTTACCATATGCTTGTGGCCTAGCCTATTGAGCTGCGAGGAATGTAATTTTAAATTGGGCTAGGCTTGTGTTCTCTCTTATTTGAGATAAGTGTGCCCTTTGGGGTTGGTTTGGGTACCCAAGGGTACGTGTACTGGGCTTCATTGTCCAATTTTTCCTTTTTGGTAATAAATGCTTACTTTACCAAAAGATAAGCCATTTACTGAAAAGTAAATAAATAATAATAAAAATAAAAAACAAGTGAAATTTGATGAAACCTAAGAAGTATGGACACGGACACGGACACAACACGTGGAGGACACGTGCAAAATAAAGTCTAAAGGAGAAGAATATATACAAATTTAGATTATTTTTGTTTTATCATTGAATTTCAAGTTATTTCATTTAAACTTGTAATGTGTTTCATGTGTATCTAAGTATTCAGAAGTGTTCGCCGAGTGTCGTGCCGTGTCGGCGTCGGACACAACACGTTACTTTCTTAGAAATATCCATGCTTCTTAGGATGAAACAGTGACAAAAATTCACTCTTGAGGTTTGGTTACACCTTACCCCTATGAAAATTGGATCTCGGGTTCACTTCAACTCGCGATTTACTCAGATCCCAGGAAAATAAAAGGAAAATGCTCAGACTATACAGAAATGCTTATTTGGACCATAATGGTTAAAGTCAAACTTTGTCAAAAAAACTAACATTAGTAGTTAAAAAGCTTGCATGGAGCATAAATATGTACACAACGTTATACTTATTTTACGAAAATGATGTCATGGAATTTATCGTAAAGCTAATGTTGGAACCCAGAACATACTTCCTCATCTGGATTGACAGGACTGCCAGTTTCTCCTGTTACAGCCTTGGAAGGATCATCAGGCATTCCCTGCATATACCACAGATCAGGTAACAAACTACAACCTTGTCTATTCATTGATGACAATTTCATTGTAATGAACCAAAATAAATAAATAAATTATCATACAGGATTATCCAGGTTTCCGCAGAAATTTTCTCCTTCAATGATTGAAGGGTTAATATCCATGGGTGTTTCCTGCAAATCCCAAACAAAACCTTTGGGTAAATCAAACATCACCACCATCATTATTATTATTATCATGTCTGGCAATGACCAATTAATATTTGGTCATAATTCAACTCACCATGAACCGAAAAAAGAAGATACGGGTCATAGAACCACAAGAAGATTTTAAATCAGGCTGCCAAAAGGGGAAGTAATAGACCTTCCAATAATAAGGTGTTACAGTTGTCTTCGCACAAAACGTACCGGTTCTATTTGGTCCAAACAAAGATTCCTCCCTGCCTTGCTCAGATCTCTCAGAGTTCCCTGCCCATTCAACAATATGGTGAAATAAAACAAGAAACCACCGCAAAGGACAAAAGAAAAAGGTAGCCATGATTTGTACGATTTAATAACAAGAATAAAACTCAATCCAAAGCCAAACTCAGAACATGCAGATACCAGGATTTTGGGGAGAAACATTTCTCTCAATAATAACAGAATAATCACCATCAACAACAATTTCAGTCACCTAATGTTACCCAACACATTTATCGTTCGGGTATGTGGAACAAGAAATGTGGTACACCTCATAGTCCAAAATGCAGTACAATAGGTCAGCTTTTATTTATATCATAATTTAAGAAGGTAAAAGCATTTCTAGAAATGGGATAGATTTTCCCTTTTAAATGATATATGGGGAAAAAAAAATTTGTTTTAAATTGATAAATGATATATGAAAAAAAAAAATTTGTTTTAAATTGAGAACGAAAGCATAAAACTAGCGTACCTGAGTATGATTAGTATTTGGTGTTCTATGGCTATTTCCCCAATCCATTCCTAAAAACTCCAATGTTATTAGCATATTAGTAATTTAGATTGAATTTCTTTATAATATTCTTCTGAACAATAAAACTGAGAAGAAATAGAAAAATAAAAAAAATCCGGACAACTACTTAAATGTATTGGGATAAAAAATATACTTAAAAACTTGTGCTTCATAACATGAATTGCTAGAATAATAGTGTTTTCAAGTAACCAAGTTTTACAGAAGCCTGAAGAACAAGGCCAGTAACTCAGCTTTTAACAGTGACCAAACATTACATTTTGAATTAGCATTTAATCAACTAAATGCATGAAGTTCACACTCATGCAAAGTCTGGCGAAGTGAGCAATGAGATCCTGGCCATTTCTCAGTCCCAAAGGGATGACCTTCGAAAAAAAAGAAGGTACAGATTTTGATGATCAAGACTATACATACCTTGTTTGCCCACATAAGCCCACATGCATTGCAGAGTGTCCTTGGTCCAGCTGGGCCATGACGCATTGCAGGAGTAGAATTTTCACCAACACCACAATGTTGACATCTTCGAACACTGGACAATATTGCAGAAAATGATATTCACTGTAAAGATTAATTAGGAGGAAGATAGTGAAGTATCTATATATTTAAAACAGCAATTTGAGATTCAGGTTGCCACTCACACAGTTTCTGGACGAGGTGTGCCGTCTCCTTGAAGGCAACTCTTAGTAGAATCCCAACTAGAAGAGGCTGAATTTTCTTTCAATGAAGCAAACTGACCATTCTTCCGATGCATCCTATTAGGATAATACATACAGAAGGAAAAGTTATACTCACAAATGCTCACACCTCTTACATCAGAATAATCTTTTCTTTTTTCTTTTTTTTTTCTTTTTTTCTTTTTTTGTTTTTTTTTTGGGTTGTTGTTGTTGTTGTTGTTAGTTACACTGAAATAATCATTTCACATTCCAATTTCGAACCACTAAAAATCCTATCCAAATAATTGTAACCATAATCAACATCTTCAGTTCCCCATGCTTTCTCCTGCATGAATGCAACTATCAAATGTTACCAGTAATTTTTCCAATAAAATAACACATACCAAGTTATTAATTTTTTTACATAATTTCCGTCAAATGAAAACAAGATTTCACAAAAACCATCATATTCATCATTTACAAACAGGGAATTTGCAGATAGTGATGCCCTGGTGAACATTTTTTAATTAATTTTGTTATATGCCTCTACTAATGGCCCCATTTTTAGCAGGATATGACAAGCATGGAGTAGATTCAACAGTAATAAATCATGTGCAGCTTGTCAAAGATTTGAGAAATTCGAATTCAACTCAATTACCTAAACGAGCTGAGGTTAAAGATTTAAGAAATTCAAATTCAACTCAATTACCTAAAGGTGCTGAGGTCAAGGACAAACTAGAGCTTTGAAAAACAATTAAACTTGAATTAATATACACTTTCACAGAGAGAGAGAAGATTACAAGCATAATATTAAAAAAATTATGATATCATTAACAATTTTCATATATCAAGTAGAGAGAGAGAGAGAGAGAGAGAGAGAGAGAGAGAGAGAGTTGTTACCAATTGCTACAGTGGCAAAATAAGTTAATTTAGCTTAATACAGGGATCCTAATATATCCTAGCTCACAAATTTATTAGCAAGTAAGACATTAGACCAAACTCCAAGAAAGAAGAGGAAAAGCCAGTGCATGTTCAATAGATCTCTAAAATTCAGATTGAAACATGGACGTGAATGGGGAGAAAAAATCCATCCAAAGGGAGAAAAAAAAAAGAAAAAAGAAAAAAAAAAGAACACAGAACAAAAAGAATCAATCCACAAACAACACTTGAATGGGGAGAAAAAATGAATCAACTAAACCGATTCTTTTCTATTTCATTTTCCTTTTTTTCTGTTCTTTTTAAAAACGGAATTCATACTTTTATGTCAAAAAACTTCTAAATGCAGCAAAAATAGACCAAAAACAGCAGCAAAAAACAGCACCGAAACAGCCCAAAAACAAACCCAAAACAGCCAGAATAGCAGCAGCATAGGGCAGAAAAAAAAAGTAAGTGTAGAACTGCAGCAGCACAGAACAGAAAAGAAAAAAAAAATCAATAAGAGTAAAACTGCAGCAGCACAGAGCAGAAAGAAAAAAAAAATAGTAAGTGTAGAACTATAAAAATATGAAAAAGTCTTTCATTCTTTAGGCTATTCTTTCAGGTTGAGTTTGGCAAATTCTTTTTTAGTATCTTTAAAACTTAATTCCCAAACGGGCACAATTTTTTTGGTTAAAAAACCAGTGCTATTTAAGCCATTGCCAAACAAAGTAAATAAAAAAAATTGAAATAGAGCTTTGTTGTATATTTCTAGCCTTATATCATCTAGGTGATCTCAACCCGATATGAAAAACTCAGTACAGATCAAAGCTATGGCTAAACTAACTCAGATGTGACAATTAGAAAGTTAGACATTCATCATTTGAGTTCAACAACCAATATCACTTCCAAAAGGTGCATATAATTGTCACTGATAAATCTAACATAGCCTATTGTTTATATTTTGCTCTTACATAAAATAATATTAACTGATCTAATGGTCTCTGTGTGTGTGTGTGTGTGTGTGTGCGTGAGAATCAGATGTCAATCTTAGTTATGTGTTCATGACCTGATCAAAACCAAAATAATGGTAGAGAATCAGATGTTAAAATAAGCTTAAATATCTTCTTTACGCTAATTATCTTTAATTTGATTTAATTTTTCATCATAAAAATTTCAAACTTTTTAACGATCACTGTCATTGTCCATGCAGGCTAACACGTTTGTGATCGATCAACACACTTATCTCATGCAGAAATAGTCCCCAAGAACAAATGCAAAACAGGATATTCCCAAATGCCAAGAAACTGATGTTTCATAGAATAAATACTTCATCATGATGATCAATAGTAAATGGAATCACCAAGCCAAGGTGGAACAAATTTAGTGGCAACCATAACATATTCTCGAAGGTTCTATTTCTTTTTTTGCTTAGAGCAGGAAAACAAAAATCAATTAGTGTAGAACTGCAGCCACATTATTTCTTCTTCTAAGTGTAGAACTGCAGCACAGACCAGAACAACAGCCACATTTTTTTTTCTTCTTCTAAATTTGTAGAACTGTTGCACCAAATAATTTTCTTCTAGAAGTGATAAAATTTCATGCAATCAATAAGTGTAACCAATTAAAAGAGAGAAGAAAAAAAATGTACTCCAGATGTTTAGCTCTAGGCTTCAACTTGGTCAGTGTAGAAAATTGACCACTTCTCAAAACATGTTATATATGTTTTTTTATTAATGCTTGAACTAATTAAAACAACAACAACGACAACAAACAAACAATGAAATGATTACAATTATTGTTGGAGAAGCTCTTCACCACATATCAGTCCCAAAATCAGAATATCAATCCCAAAAAAAATTCAAAATCAGAATATCAGACCTAAAATCAGAATATCAGTCCCAAAAATAGTCCCAAAAATCAATAAAAATTGATCAAGTTTACTGCATCAAAACAAAGGAATTCAATAATCCCAGAACAAAAGTGGGAAAATAAAACAAACCCAGAAACGAAAATTCAATAATCAATGCATTCACACGAAACCCATTAAAATTTTCAATAAACCCATGTCGATATGAGCAATCAAAATCAACCCATAGATCGATAAAACACAAAAACACGAATTAAATAATTTATATATATATATATACATTCAGTGTGTATATGCACGTAAGAGATTTCCAAGTGAGGAAAATCTGAGATTTATTATGGGAATTGCTCGATCGAGACATACCCGATTGGAATATCAGAATATCGGTCCCAAAAATAGTCCCAAAATTAGAATATCAGTCCCAATATCAGTGTTGTGTTGTGTTCTTCCATGCCGAACAAGAGAATCAAATTGAAGACAAACAAGAAAAAGTGTGAGAGAGTGAGAGGGAGAGGGAGAGAGAGACGAAGAAGAAGAGAAGACATACCTATGTGCGTCTTCTGTTGTGGCGCTTGAGGTTGTGAAGTGAGAGAATGAGATGAATATTGGGTCAATCCTTGTTTATTCACCTAAAAGGGCCTGTCAACTATTGAACATAAAAAATAAAAATAAAAAAACAGGTTCAAAACCACGTCGTTTTGACCCTTAATTTATTGGTGACGAAAATTATTAGGTTGTCATAAATATTATTTATCTTTCCGCGACTATTTTAATTCTGTCGCCAAAAATTTACAATTGGCCACTATAAATTTCGTCGCTATATGTTAATTTGGTCGCGAAAATATTTTTAGTGCTCCCGCGCAAAAATTTAAGTTGGCGCCAAATGTTTTTAGCGACCAATTGAGATATTGGTCGCCAGTAGTTTATTTTTTGACGACCAACAAGTATATTGTCGCCAAAAATATACAATTGGCGACTAATTTCAATTTGGTTGTTAAAAAACGTCGCCAAAAATGCTTTTTGTTGTAGTTTCCCGGTCCAAAAAAAAAACCAATAATACAGCAGATCAACAAAATCATCAACAGAAGATCAACTCAACAACAGATCAACATCATACATCAACCACATGTCATCTATACTTACACAATAGATCAACAACATCATACACAATTTATCAAAAAAAGAAAAATCAGAGAGATGGTAAGATCTAAGAAGTGTACAACTCAAAAAGATAAATCAGAGAGATGGTGTCGGCGACGAGGCCGTTAGCTCAATGATCGGAGACAGCGACGTTGACGGCAACGAAGGGAAAGGCATCGGAGTCTGACAACGAAGGTGTAAACAACCTATTTTTGACCGTCCTCAAGACTTGAACGTCATTGTTTAAACACTTGATGATCATCCATGCTCGTGTTCATTTTGAGTTCCCGAAGGTCTCGACTGCGCGTCTTGCCTTAAGATCTCTCAATTTGTTTGTTTCGTGCTTAGTTGTGGACCAATGACTTGTGGTTTTTGCTTTTGAGGGAAGAGGGTGGCTTGTTGGCCATCCCTACAACCCATCGGCTAAGGCCTTGTGCCATCGGCCATAAGTGGTGGCTGATCGGCACTCTTTCTTGGCCGAGACCTTTCCACCTGCTTTTGCAGATATTTTCTTGCCAGCTGTGACAGCTGGTGAGCACAGATCTCATCCTCCATACACGTGCATGGAAGGATTGAATCAAGACTCAAGCTTGTTGAACAAGCTTGAGAATTGATTTTCTATAAGAAGGGAGGCCCCTCTCCCTTTCCATAGGTTCTGAAAATTGAGATACAAAGATTTATATATCTCTCTCGCTATATATTTTACCTCTCTCTCCATATTTACCCTAGTTTGTGCTCGAAAGTGTATTTTCTTCATACTTTTGCACTAAAGCACCTACTAGAACACCATCCTTTTGTTGCTGAGGTACTTAGGAGCTGGTGTTGGTGTTTTGGGACTGGTTTTGGTCAGAAAAGAGTGCTGGAGTCGTGTTCTTGAAGGTGTTCTTCAAGGGTGAGTCAACTAGCCTTTAGACCCTTGTTTTGGTTTAAGCTTTTGGACCTATTTGCATGCTGATTTAAGCTTAACTTTCTACTGTAAAAAGTTCTGATTTTTCATGCTTGTAATGTTTGTTTAAGGTCACTTTTGTGTTGGGGGTTGTCTACCCCCTCTTAGGCCTTGTTTGGTCTTGTTCTTGTGCCTTCTTTTTAAGCTATTGGGACCACCTAGTTTTGGCCTTCTCACCACTGAAACTCAGAGGAATTTCAGTGGTGGAAATGGTGTTTTAAGGTCCCAAATAGAAGAGGGTCATCCCCCCTCCTTATGTCTTGCATGCTTGCTTTG